CTGTTGTCTCTCTGCCTCCAGCCTTCCCATCTTACAAACCCAGGCTCCCAATGCCCTCTCCTAGCCCCAGCCTGTAATTTACAAGAGTTTCAGAACAGGTGAGCAGTGTTCCCTGTAAGCTGGGTGCTTGTGCGGCCACCCAGCCGATTAGCAAGCAGAACACCCACAGCTAGATTTTAGTGGTGCATACTGGCACATGCCTCAGCGCATGTAAAACATTTATTCACACGTAGATGGGAAAAATTAGAGGGAACATTGACGTGAAGCATTTAAATTCCGAGGCCACACGTTTCTTTTCTTCTCTCCCTGGCCCACGGGGTACAGAAGGCAAGAATCAGCAGAATCACACAAGGGCAAGTGCAATGCGACACGCCACCACGCTTTGCAGCTTCCGGGTGCCTTCTTTCTTGGCTAGGCTCATCCCTCCCAGCCATCTGGCTGGGGACCCCACAGCCACACCCATGCGTGCAGAGCTGGTCAGTGAGGCACAGAGAGGGTCGCTGCCTCGTCCAAGATCACACCTGCTCTACTGCAGCACAGGGAACAGAACCCAGAGCGCTTGACTCGGTTCCTAACCGCAAGACTACCCTTCCTTCCTGCACAAATACATGAAACATGCCCGGAGTCGAGAGAACGACGCTCAGCCCAAGAGCTTACCACATCCCCTGCTGCCAGGCCTGTGGGTGGCGGGAACAGAGCGAGAGACTGTTACATTTCACTGCCCAAAAGCGATGGCTGGGACTGGCAAGAGGGGCCTGGCTTTTGTATAATCCAGCCCCAGGATGACAGGGACAGCTGTCGCTTTAAAGGCTATGGGGCGCTTTCTTCCCTTGATCGAGAGCCTCCTTGCAGCAGTACGCAAGGCTGCAGGAACGGCAGACCCCCCCCATGGCACTTGACTGTCAGACTACGCCAGCGCAGCAGGGGACACTCAGGATAACGTGGGGTCTATGCCCCGAGGGCAGGGTTTTCTTCAACCTCTGCTCTGATGGCTTGGCATTTCTGGTGTCATTAACAATAAGCAGCAGGCGTGGGTGGGACAGAAACAAATCTAGGCCAGAGGAACGGCCGGATACCTGGTACCAAGAGAGACTTGATCTCTCCGCCCTGCCCACAGCCAGGCTGAAACTCTCAAGCGTGGCGAGACCCAGCATGGGACAAAACAAAAGGCATCCCCACCCCCAGCACAGCACGTATGGGCAAGCGCCAGGAGGCTGCTGCTCTCACTGGCCGGTCGACGTTCTCACCCCGACACACGTGGGAATAAGGGCTTGAGAGGCAAATGGTGGGGGAGGGAAACCTGGATTCTGCTCTGAAGAGCAAATCTGGAAAAATGGCACCAGCTGTAAAAATCCCGGAAGCCAAACGCTGCACTTTGCAAGCCCAGAGTCGTGCAAGCGGGCCTGCAGAAGGGTGCCCACTAGGGCTTGCCAAAGTGCCAAGCGGGTGAGGTGCCCAGCTCCCAAGGAAAGTCAAAGGGAGTTAGGTGCCCAACTCAGGCGCCTTTGGGAGTCCCGGCAGACACCCAGCTGCCTCTTTAAGTGTGTAAATCTCTTTATAAATGTGGCCTCACTGATCAGCTGTTTGTCGGCTCAGCGCGGCAGCCATGTAAATTTAAATGAAGCCGCGATTATTTAAATCGCGGCTTCATTTCCCTTTGCCGATCTGTCTAATCTATATGCCTCCATCGACAGAGCCATGTAGTCTAGACACACCTCAAGTGTCAAGTAGGGTTCTTAGAAGCACGATTATTCTCCACAAAACAGAAAGCCAAAACTTTCATTAATTTCTCAGCCCTTACCCAGGCACAACCCCCATTGAATTTAGCAGAATTTGACTCTGAGAATACAAGTCATTTCCTTGCTATTCGGTGGCGGGGTACTTGGCTACTTTCCATACATGAGGCTGTGGCACATCAAAACTCATCACACGTACATGCAGCAACTGCCAACTTCCTTCTGTTGCAATATTTCAGTCTTGTGCGTGTTTACCTCGCAGGTTGCGTTCCACATTACAAAAATGCTGACCAAATTCTTCAGACCCAGGGATCTACAGCTACACCAGATATCCTGCAATTCTCATTGGCGTCTACTGAGCTGAATAACGTAGGTAGAAGAAACATTTTTAAAAACGAGGGAAAATGGGTTTGGGGCTCCATACAACTCAGGAGCCTTTTTGAAGCTTATGGGTGATCAGGGTAAAACCAAAAAAAAAGCTATTTTTGGTCAAACCATGAAGGACTGAAAAGTGTTTATTTTTAAAATGTTCTTCCTGCCAAGGGAGGGGGTGAAATGCAACAGGAAGGAGACAAATACATGACAGAGAAAGAAAAAAAAAAGTGGGTTCCTCACCTGGGATTAAGGTGGGTGAGAAACATTGTGAAAGTGGCCAAGATTGGAAGATTTCCACCCCAGAAAGGGGCTACTTCCTAACTCAGCTCTTTGGGAAGACCCCGTCGCTTTGCCCCTCGTTTACACAAACGTCAATCAAAGACCGAGCCCGGGATAAGCCGTGGCACTGGCTATGCGCAATGTGAGTTTTGTATCCCCACTGCAGCCTACAGAGCTGCAAAGCAGCATCCAGCTCTGCCTCGTGCTCCCAACAGTGCTGTGACCCCCCCAAGGGCAAAGCAGAGAGCAGATCGGGACTCAGAAACCCCAGAGTCCCTCCCCGTCGCTTCCTACTCACTTTCAGCTGGGATTTGGACACTTTGCCACTTTTCTCCACATCCAGGGCGGTGAAGGCGTACCAGATGGATTTTAAAAGCTCGGCTCGCAGGTCCATGGCTAGAGGCACAGATGACAGCGCCTGCTCCGTCAACGAGGATCCGGTTTCAGGAAGCTGACTCTTGTGCCAACAGGCCTCAGAATCCTGAATTGAGGGGCAGCAGCGCCATCTGATGACTGCCCCTCGGATAGGCCCGAGAGCACTCCCCTGCCTGGCCAGATGAAGATACTCCCCTTTCTGCCCTGCACCGGGGCATCAGTCCACCTCACTCGGCTCTGCATTACCTTGCCTCTTCAACCGCCTACCCCCACATTTTAGGCACAATCTCAGCTCTGGACACGGGATTTGAGACTGGATATTACCAGCACTTGGCCATGCTCTAGCCACTGGCTGATCTGTTAGCTGGGTCTAACACCGGCCTGGTTGATCAGACAGCATCTTAATGATCTGGCAGCGGGACTTCCCAGTGCCCTGCAGCTGCTACATGTGTTCTGCCAATAGCCGCTGCTAGGCATGGCACCTCCCCGCACCCACAAAAGGGGAACAGATGCGAAATTTCTCAGCCCTTTGCCTGACAAATTTTGCTTTCGGCCCAAGTTTGAGACCAGACCGGAGAATCCCAGGGAGCGGGAACTGCTGAGGGCTGGGCAGGTGGCTGGCTGGGCAGTAACTCCGGATTTGTCTACACTTAAAAGTTTAAAGCACAGCCGAGGCAGCGCTTCAAAGCATGACTGCGGCACGAGCGCTGAGAATGCTCCCAGTGACCTATGTAAACCACCTCCACAAGGGGAGTAGGCTCCCAGTGCTGTAGCCTGGGTCACACTGGCGCTTTGCAGTGCTGTATCTTGCTGCACTCGAGGGGGAAGGGGAAGAGGTTCCCACACCCCTGTGCCCATGGGCGGCAGGTGATGTAGGCAAGGGAAAGCATTGCCTTCCCAAATTGTCTGCACTGCCCAGTTGCCTGGGAGGGGCTGGGGGCCGCTTGGTAGCCTGGATCCCCGGCGGTCCAGAAAGATTGAGGCCATGCCACACGGCAGCCCTGGCCCTCAGCTGGGGTGGGCGTGGCTTGGCTGGAGAGTGGGGGAAAGGGTGTGAAGGAGCATGGTCTCAGGGAAGGGAAGGGGAGTCAGGTGTTGGGCCATCCTTTTACAGTCTTTGCAGAGCTGGAGACTCCCTGCTGAAAAACAGGACTGGCCAAGTCCTCGGGGAAGAGGAATGGCTTTGTGCTAAGATCATGGATGGAGATTTAGGAGATCTGGGTTCTATTCCTGGGACTACCCATGGTGAAGACTTAGAAGCCAGTGGCATGTCCTTTTGTCCACACCCTTACTGCTCCCTACTCCCGGTGGTTTCTTGTGTGCTCTTGGGCCAGTCAATTAAACTTCAGCTGCTCCCGTCTGTAAAATAACCACCCAGACCCAACTCACAGGGCTGGGGGCAGAATAAACTGATCAATGAGGCGCTCAGATACTAACAAGGGCTGCGTATGTTTCTAGATAAAAAACGAAGGGGACTTGGGAGGTGCCTAGCAACTGCCCAATGAGCAGAGAGAGAAATTTTAACTCCCCCATGAGCCCAGTTGCAGGCTAAGCCCAGACTCAGTCACCTAGGGAGAGATTCGTTAGTGCCTACTAGAGGATCCAACAGGATCGAAATGTTAGCAGCTGCCTATAAGACAGTGGTGGGTGACCTCCGGCTCTCAGGTTGCATGCGGCCCATCGGAGTTCTGTGTGTGGCCCACCGGGCATTTTGTTTACCACTTCCCACAGGCAGGGGGGCCAGACTCTGCTGGTTTCCGTTCACGTCGGGTTTTTTCCTACCAGCGTTACTAAAGTGACATGCATGCAAAGCCAGGCTACGGGAAGTGAGGTGTGCGCTGGTTGCCCACAACACTGACCATGAGAGCCGTGCGCTCCCTCTGTGTCCGAACCACTGCCCCAGGTCAGTCAGCACAGCCTGCAAAATCTAGGTACGCAAGCGCCGTTCGCAAACCTGTTACCCTGGGAGCCTGTCTTGGCTATGACAACCTTGTGGCCCATGGAAGGAGGCCAACTCGCTAGCCTAGGTTGCCCATTGCTGCTGTAAGAGAAAGAAGCTCCTGGAAAGTCTGGGGGAGGTTTATTGCTAAGGCACACAGAGGACCAAGCCCCTAAGGCAATGCAGGGCAGAGCCAAAGTGTGTAAACTCAGCAGCTTTATTAAGTACATATCAAACCTTTCCCACTTTCTCCCTCTTCCCCCCATGGGCTGCAGGGATTGAATGAGAAAGAGAAAGGAAATTAAAAAAAACTTTAATTAGTTTTATTTAAACTCACTATTTACATCTAACTAGCTTGCGCCCCCGAGAAGTGCTGGCCTGCCCACGTGGAGTCCTACACCCGGCCCCACAGCAGCGGAATCTGGAAATGAGCTTGGCTGTTGCGTGGAAGGGGGATGGGGAGGGTGGAGGGAGAAGTGCCGTTGTGTCCAGGTTAAGGCAGATCCTGCCCGTGGCAGGCCCACAGCGTGGGCCGGAGATAAGCTCCGACTTCCAGCGTCAAGGAGTTATCGTCGTTGAGAACACCGAGACCAGGACTGCCTGAGGTTGCTGTGAGGGGGCTTTATTGCTTCTGTGCAGATGCTGCTTACACGACACTTGTGTTTGTCAGACCTTCTGGGTTCCTTCCTCGAGCACCTAGTGGGAGCGCGCAGACCCTGCCTCCCTGGAATGATTGCTGATGCCCCCGGGCGCCACGTAGGCTGTTGCAGCTCATCTTGCCTTGGAATTCCAACTCTTGGCCACAAAGGAGCACAAGAGCTTCCATGTCTTCTCCAGAGCCAGGGACATTAGCGTCCACGGAAAATGAGCAGGATAGTCCCAGATGGCAGCAGAGTGACTGCCCAGGATCCAGGAAAGCTCTGAAGCCTCCAGCCAAAAGCCAGCTGCCAGGTTTCTTAGAAAGATGTCACTTAAGATATAGGAGACCTGTTCAAAGAGGGTCCCCTATCTGCTCTCACTGCCTGCCTGGTGCAAGACGGATGCACGTAAGTTATCACGGCCCCCCCCTTCTGCATTCGGTACCACGCATTCATTTGTCTTCCATGCAGCAGCTGGCACGGCTGTTTCAGATCCTGAAACCCCCAGCCGAACACAGGGGTCCATTGGTTTGCCATCCATGCCCCACTCAAGGCTCCCTGCCCATGGACTGTCCGATGCCTCAGCACCCGTTCTCAGACACAGCTGCACTGAGCGTTACAGACTCCTGTTGGATTGCTGCTGTCGCCATGCTGATGGCTTCTTCCAGGCTTTGCTGCTCTTCCAGCTATGAAAGGAGAAACACAAATGAATGGCATCGTTCTCCCATGCTCCAAGGCTGAGCCAGCCTGTATTTGACCTGGACAGCCTAGGGCAGAGTAAGATGCCAGGGGCTGGGGCGAGGTGGGAGGAGAGGAAGATGGGTGCAAAGGAGAGAGAAATACCAAGTGCTGAGGCCAAGCAGAGGGAAGGAAGATGGGTGCAGTCCGATGTAGGGGAGAAGAATGTGAGGCGTAGGCAACGGGTGCAGAGGAAGTGGAACACAGCAGAGAGAGGTGGGGTGGGGAGTAATGGAGTTCTGCGTGTTGAGGAGACGGCTGCACAGATGGTCTGGGGCAGCTGCCCCACTCCTCACGCTTTGGGAGGCCCTGCGGTGGCCACCTCCACTGCCCTAGAGACAGGCCTGGTGCAGCCTGATTCAGCCACCCAGCCCCTGGTAATCTCCCAGCTTGTGTGGCGCAGGGCAGGAGGAAAGGGGCAGATCAGGGCCTGCAGGGGGTTGCCCCAGGCCTCCATCCCCCTAGGGCTGGCCTACTGCTGTAAGCGAGGCAGGCACTGTCAAATCCCTTGAAAGGGGGAAGAAGATGGGTGAGGGGGAAAGGCCACCAACAGAAACAACAGCAGACACGGCCAAGGCACACAGCTGGTGAGGAAAGTGAGGGGAGTCCAAAGGAAAGAACATAGAGGAAAGGGACACAGAGGCAGCCAGGAGACCTGGGTGCCGCAGCAGCCCCCTGGGGGCAGGTCCGAAGGAGATGCAAGTGGGAATCAGAGCAGGGTGACTGCACAGGAGTGAAGCTCAGCCCAGGCCAGGGTGTCCCCCTGTACCTGCACTGCAATGTGAGTGCCGCTGGCGGTGGCTAGCAATGCCACTTGCTGGTGATGGAGGGACGCGATGGCTGACCCTTCCGACATCACTGCCCCCGCAGTGACGATAGTAACCTGGAACACATACAGCCAAAGACATTACACGGCGCAAAGAGCCTCCTCGCACCCAGAACCGCCCCGAGTCGCAGAAAGAAACCCCTACCGGCTGCGTCTCAGTCCCGTCCGCACTGACCATCGTGACCGTGTGCGTGCCGGAAGCCGCAAGGTTCTCCTGTGGCATCGCGATGGTGCCACTCTGTGTCACCATGCTGATGGCACTGCCCAGGGCCTGTAAGTCCTCGTGGGACAGACTGACCTGGGACGAGAAAACAAATGGTTGGCCATCGAAGGGCTGACAGGACTCAGCTTGCACCAGCTGCCCTGCTGGGCAGAGGTGGTCACATGGGATATGAGCTGGCCCTTTGCCCATCCCTCTTCTGCAGCCCACTTGGCTTTCTCTAGTCCTGAGCTTGGCACCACGACTCCAGTGAGGAAGGGAGAGACCATGACTCCAGGCATGACCAAGGCACAGAGGCAAACTGACGTGCCCAAGATCACACGCAGTCAGTGACCGAATCGGGACTAGAACCCAGGAATCCTACTCCCCGTTCCCACCTCAAATCACTTAGCCTCATCTCACTCCCACTTGAAGCTCCTTCTCTCACGCTCTTGGGGGGCAGTTAGTTCATTTTCTGCGGCAACCTCAGAGGCCAATTGAGGAGCTATTCCCAGCAGCTACTTCCTGAGCCCTGGTCCGTAAGGGGGACAGGAACGGTGACTGTACGGACGTAATCTCAACACCAGGCAACATCGCAACCCAAATCCAGCCAACGCCACGATAGAGAGAAAGCTGTTAGCGTCCGACGAGTGCCCAGAGGGCAATGACAAATGGGGTGAACCCTCCTTTGCCCGCCACATCAAAACTGATGAATGAGGGCAGAGAAACGGAGAGGCAGCTTGGCCCGCATGACTCAGGCTGCTCCAGATTGATGGGTACAGCCCGCTGCTCTCCGGCAGCTTTCAGCAAATGTACCCTAAACTCAAAGCAACGAAGCAGCCTGACCTCCACCGCACAATGAGTGACTGGCCATCTCTAGTTAGCCAAGAAGGAAAGGACCCACCAGCTGTCCAGGATGGAGAATGCGAGTGGTGGTTAGAGGCAGGGACCAGCTCTGTTAGCTGCACCCCAAACTCTAGAGGACCCTGTGGTCTCTGTACCTGCTGTGTTCCGTCCTGAGAGATAAGCGAAACCTGGGTCGGTATACCATCCTCCTCCTCTTCCTCCTCCTCTGAAAGGAAAGCAATCTGCTGGCGCTTTGGTGGGGGGCTCCTTTCGGCGGCGGCAGCAGCTGGGCAAACAGGAAAGGGAGCACCAGTGAGAAGGGCAGTGCCTGGCTGTGGCCCTGGATCTAGGATCCTCGGGTCTGCCTGCTCCCTGAAGGGATAGAGCATGGGATCCTAATGAGAACAGCTGGAAGACAGGCTTTGTCTGAGTGGCGGCAGGCTTAGAATGGGGGCACCTCCCCACAAAGCTGGCGGTGAGAGGGGGAGGGGCTGCAGGCCCAGGCTGGGGGGCTCATTCCCTCCTTTGGCTGCACTGTCTAATCCAAGTCAGCGTGGAGGACGTGTGCCACACCTTCTAGCTGCTGCTGTTCGTAGAGGGCCTGCTCGCTCTCCTCCGTGGCCTCCAGCTCTCCGTGGGCACTGCGCTTGTGCATGGCCAGCGTGGAGGTCTGGCGGTAGGTCTTCCCGCAGTTGTTGCACGTGTAGGGCTTGCAGTGTGTGTGAACCACATGGTGCTTGTACAGACTGGAGTACTCAGTGAAGCGCTTCCCGCAACCCGGCACAGTGCACATGTACGGCTTCTCGCCTAGGGTGGGGAGACACATGGTCACAACAAGCTATCAATGTGGAAGCCTGCACAAACATTACCATGCGGAGGGGCGGGGGAGGGAGTCTCCCCATTTCATATGGCACACCAAAGCATGAAGACAGTAGATTTGACCAAGGTCACCTAGTGAGTCAGTGGCAGAACCAAGAACAGAATCCATTATTTCTGCCTCCCAGCCCTGTGCTCAGACCAGGCCTCGGTGCAGCATTTTCCAGGCAGATCTCGTCCCACTCTGCACAGCTTTATGTGTCCACAGAAAAATGGATCTGTCAAGCCTTTGAACCTTTATGGAGTGTTTTATGTGTCTATTTTATAGGGGAGAAATGGGTTACAGAACCCCAGCCCAGCCAGAGTTAGCTACAGGTTGAATCTCTCTAGTCCCGCACCCTTGGAACCTGACTGGTGCCAATCCAGAGAATTTGCTAAACCATGGGCAGTCAATATTGTCTAGCAGCATTAACAGCACTTCCACTGCCTGCTGGGCTCTTTGAAGATATTTAAGGGTAAATCAGAGCTAAGGAGCAGCACAGAACGCTGGCAGAAACCAATGGAACTGGACAACCAGCATTGTCAGGTATAGACAATGTAGTCACTAGGCTATAGAATCCGTTATCTTTCCAATGGGGGAAACTATACCCTTGCCCGCAGCTCACCTGTGTGAATTCTCATGTGGTTCTTGTAGTTGGTGGCGCTCGTGAATCCTCTCCCACAGTTGGGCTCGGGGCACATGTACGGCCGCTCCCCCGTGTGTGTCCGGATGTGGACCTTACGGATGTTGGAGGTGGTAAAAGAGCGGCCACAGCCCTCAAAGGGGCATTTGAAGGGACGCTCACCTTCAGCAACAAACAGAAGAAAGGCACGATGTGGCTTCTGTCAGTCAGACCACCAGCTCCCCAAAGGTCTTGGAGTTTGAAACGGTGACCACATCCCCACCACTATGTCTGTTGCCCTGATGAGTTCCACAGGGCATCTGGATAATCCAGGCTGCCTCGTACACAGGACTAAGCAGGAAGGAAGGACTGCAAGGCACACACAATGGCTTCTTCCCATCCCCCTAACCTGATGCTCGACAGTGTCTCTCCCCAGAAAAACTCATTCTACTCGATGAATTTAGCACTAAGCCAACAGCACAGTCGGGGAAGAGCACAAATGTGTCTCAGCCCTGCCTCTTAACACAGGAGGGAAGCAAAGTCTCCGTGGCCAATTAAGTCCTCTCTGATGGGGCTGCCGTTTGCAGACAAGTTCTAAAGGAAACCAACTAACACCCCAAATGCCTTCCACTGTATTTTTTGTAAACACTCATCAGACTGAAAAGGTGAGGCTCTGGTGCCTTTCGCTATGTCAGTGTGACACCGATGCACTTCTGCTGGGAAGGATCTAAGGGCACAGAAGTTTCATCCACCATGTAGGCACAGAGCAACGCAAATCAAGAAAACAACAACAAAATGATTGAACTAGCTCAGTTTGTTAGTCATAATGCTCGCTCGGCTTGTGATCTACTCTTCCCCTGACCTGGATCTGTGGACCATTTACACGAGTGGTGAGACTTGGGGTCCACAGACCACGTCTAAGAGCTCCAAAGTGATCCACACCTCCATTTGACTTTTTTAGCAGTCTGCAACTGAAAAAAGGTTGAAAACCTGGTTTAGACAGTATCGTTGCACCGTGTTTGTACTCCTCTGTCTGTCTGTCTGCACCCACCTGCTAGCTCTCAGCTTGTGAGCTCTCTGGGATGGAGACCATCTTATGATGTTTGTACAGCACCTAACGCCACGGGGTCCTAGGCCTAATAAACTATCAAGATGGACACTCGCTTCCCTGCCATCGAGAACGTCAGACTGGGGAGGACTGTGCTCAGGCCTCTTGCCATGTGGCAATGCAGCCCACCTGTGTGTGTGCGGATGTGTTTCTGCAAGTCCCCAGAGGTTTTGAAGGCTTTGCTGCACATGTCCTCCGGGCACTTGTACGGCTTCTCACCGGTGTGCGTTCGCACATGGCTCTTCAGCCCGTATCCTGCAAGGGAAGAGGGGACAGGAAGTTTGTGCTGCAATCTGCCGCATGTAACATGACAACACATGGACAATCTCTTACTCCATGGAATTTCAGAGCTTTGTCCTGGAATCTCAAAGGAAGGAACCAAAGGTCCAATTAGTTCTTCACTTAGATCAGGGTTTCCCAACCTATGGGTCAGGACCCAAATATGGGTGGCCATTACATTTCAAAAGAGTCGCCAGGTGTCTCCCCAGGAGGCTCTTAAGGAGCCGTTCACACATTTTTTGAATTGCCCAAGTCTTCCTGAATTATCAAAATGGGTCCCCATCTGGAAAAGGTTGGGAACCGCTCACTTAGATAAACTAAACTCTAAGCAATTTACAACGAGGGGGAGGTTATAAGCAGTTGAGGAGGAAATGTGTTTTACTAGGGAGGCCTTAAAAACAGAGCTCCCACGTAATAACAGAACAGGCAGCCTCAGGAGTGACATTCACGTGCACGGGTGCTTTTCGGCAGGTGATCTGTAACCATTACCTGTAGCGAATGCTTTCCCACAGCTTGGGAAGTCACATCTGTACGGCCGGTCGCCTGTGTGAGCTCGCTCATGCACCTGGAGAGATAGAGAAGGGACATAATGTGAAGCCAAAACTCAGGTGGAGCAGCATGTGGAGAGCTGGGGGAAGAAGCACTCAATTCCAGACCACCCACCCCAACTCAGGCAGACACCGGGCTCTTGATCGCTTCCTGCGCTGAGCTGACATGCAGCAGCAGTGCGCTCTCAGCCCTGGTCTAGACTAGGGTTAGCTACCACCTTTTAAACCCCTGGGTGACTGAGTAAATTGGTTTTTAACACGTTTCCTGCTAAGGTTCACTGCAACCAACTAACATGTGGTAAAACGACAACCTACGAGAGAACACATTTCCAAAACACACTCTCCCCCCTCTGTTCTGTGCAGTCTTGTAGCCGTGATGGTCCCAGGAGCTGAGACTCACAAGGTCGATGAGGTAACTTCATTTCAAGTGACTGCCTCTAATATGAATTATCCCTTCTGCTTACCAATCTGTCCTACCTTGTATTTAGCTCGGCCACTCTGCTTCCTGACCCAGACCTGAAGAAGAGCAGCTCTGTGTGGCTTGAAAACTCAGACCTTCCACCAAGGGAAGGTCAATAAAAGATGTTATCCTAGCCCAGATAAGGCCTTACACAAGTATGAGCAATCTAGGTTAGAGTGTGGGCTGCAAGAGTGGCTCTCCTTCCTCTCAGCGGGCTGCAAGATTGTCATCCCCAAGATGGTCTCTTGGGACAGGGCAGTTTTGCAACCTGCAGTTGTGTATCTAGAATTCGTGGGCTGAGCCGACTGAATTGTAGCAGCACTTTGGATGCAGAGGGAGCGCGCAATCAGTGTTGTGTGCAACCAGCATGCTCCTCACTTCAAATGCCTTTGCTTTATGAGCAAATCACTCTAGTAATACCAGCAGGAAAAAACCTACCCGGACAGAAACCAGCAGAATCTGGCAACCCTGCATGTTGCAAAATGTCTCATGAGCCACACACACAACCTGATGGGCCAGATGTGGTCCACAGGCCAGAGGCTCCCCACAACTGCCTTACACAGTTGCTGTGTTCTGCTTCAAGCTATGTACTGGACAGCAGGAAAACAAGTGTCTCTAATGCTTAGGTAGGGTGCGGATCCCATTCATTGCTGCAGAGGACACATGGCCTGCCATCAGCTCTGCTCTGAAAGCAGCGCAGCTCAGCAGCCTCTAGCAGCTAGTGATACACAATTCCACTGTTAGGAAGAGATCCCTTTCCCCAACCCTCAAGGCTCCTCATCACTTCTCATGTGGACATTCCCAAGATGCCTCCTTCCTCCAGGTGACAAACTCCGTCTCTCTGGCTCTTAACTGTTAGATACACCCCCAAAATGGCCATTGAAAGTCACTGCAGAGTGCCACGTTCCTTTCACAGGCATCCTGGTCTTTTCCATCATGAGACCAGGTTTGCATCGGAGTCCTCTGGCTGAAGCTTTGGGTGCCAGTGCAGTAGCTGGCTTACCTTTAGATGGTGGGCTGTAGTGTAAAGGCGTCCACAACCTTTGTAACCACAGCGGAAGGCTCTGTCACCAACCTGCTGCCCCTTCCCGTTGCTGTGCATCTCTTCGTCCCGCAGAGCCTGCCGAGAAAAACAGTGAGGCTAACTAAAAAACCACCACAAGAACCATAAGAGACTCTGCAAGACCAGGATGAACGCACCCCTGCACTCTCATCTTGCACAGGGATTCCTCTGAAAATGAGTGTGATGTACATACAAAGTCACAGCTGCACACACAGAGGGCAGTCAAGGGGAGGGAAGCCATGATTTCTGGGCTCCGTTTCCCAGCTCACTTCACTGCTCTGTGCCTCCGTTTACTCATAAGTAAAATACGACTCTTAAGATCTACCTTACCCTGGAGTTGCGAGGCCTCTTTAATTAAGTTTGCAAGGTGTTTGAAAATCTCTGATGAGAGGTATTCTTAAGATCTACCTTACCCTGGAGTTGTGAGGCCTCTTTAATTAGGTTTGCAAGGTGTTTTGAAAATCTCTGATGAGAGGTGCTACGGGAGAGCTAAGCACACACAGATTATTATCGGCCATATCACAAACTGAACACAAATGTCACGTTTATGATCCTAATTTTCAGCCCTGAAAAATTCCACTGGCCTCCTTGCCCATCGTAAGTCATTCCCTTCACCGACGAGGGGATTAAGTACCTTTAACTTTCCCATCACCATCTCCCATCATACCCAGAGTGGATAAGCAGATTGTGTGTCTGGGCTAGTACTTTTTTGGGACCAACTGCAAGTCTAGTTGTATGATCCACAACATTTATATGCTGACAAATTCTAGTAGGAAACAGCTCTATAAGTAGGTGATATCAACAGAAATAGCCAGACTAGAAAAAAAGATTAGCCATTTAACTGGTTGAGTCAAACAACCCACACCCACAGTGGTGGGCTGGTAAGTTAACGGGAGTGGAGTCAAAGAAAGATCTCACTGACTAGTACTAACCTGGGAGGGGGCATTGTTTGAAATCTCATTCTTCAAGTGGCAGCTGCTATTCACTCTCTCTTCCTCCTCAGAGACCTGCAAGCAGAGAGACCACAGCATCTGCTTATGCCCCTTTGCAGAGTATAGAAGAGATAAGCCATAACCAAGCAATGAGTCATTCACACCAGGAGATCACACACCTGGGCTGCTATTCTTCAGACCAAAGAGGGAAAATGGGAAAAGGTTCAGGAAAGGGCAACAAAAATGATTAGGGGTTTGGAACTGGTCCCATATGAAGAGAGATTAAAAAGTCTTGGACTTTCCAGCTTAGAAAAGAGGAGACTAAGGAGGGATATAAAGAGGTCTATAAAAATCATGACCGGTGTGGAAAAAGTGAATAAGGAAAAGTTATTTACTTGTTCCCATAATATAAGAACTAGGTGTCACCAAATGAAATTAATAGGTAGCAGGTTTAAAACAAAAGGAAGTTTTTCTTCACGCAGCGCATAGTCAACCTGTGGAACTCCTTGCCAGAGGATGTTGTGAAGACTAGGACTTTAAACAGGGTTCAAAGAAGAGGTTAGGTCAATCAATGGCTATTTGTCAGGATGGGTAGGAATGGTGTCCCTAGCCTCTGTTTGTCTGGAAATGGATGACAGGAGAGGGATCACCTGATGATTACCTGTTGTGTTCACTCCCTCTGGGGAACCTGGCATTGGCCACTGTCGGCAGACAGAATATTGAGCTAGATGGACCTTTGATCTGACCCAGTATGGCCGTTCTTATGCATGAAGACTATAGGTCCCTGAACCCAGCGCTCCATATTAAAGTCACTCAAATTAAGATGGAGCACTGCATGCTGGGATAGGGAATCTCCACAACCACTTGGAGAAAGCAGACATCTGGACTGAGAAATGTTATGGGTCTCATGGTGTGCTACATTAGCCATCTCCACCAATAATCTCCTTATGAAGAAAAACATGCATCACTGATTACTTATACAGGAAAACATTAATTTGCCTTTTTATTTCTTCTCACACGCCTTTCTGTCTCTGTCTAATGCTCTGTAGCCGTGTCTATCACTATTCTAATGCTCTGTAGTCTTCTTGCCACTTGCTAGTCTATTCATGTTTCCTGTTTCAAATTCTGATTTGCACTTCTCTTTACCACTGCTGTCCAAGTAGCACTACTAATACCTTCTTCCCTTTCACATGTCATTTAACTCTCTTTCTAGATAGCACACTGATGTTTCCCAAAGAATATGAGTGAGTTTTCTTCAGTTCATTTCATTAGAACACTGACTCTCCTCTTCAGTGCAAGCTATAAAGCATTTTTTGTGTTTGGGTCTTTCACTTGCACAGTCTTCTTTTAACTTTCACCATCCTCTTCGCCTTGACAGCAATACAAAGGTGACAATCGCTGCTCGCACGTCCATCTGTCAACGATACACTAAACAATCTTGACATGTAGAGGCAAGCTGGTTCTTGTAGTACCGCCTGGAGTGTTTCAGGTCACGTTACTGAATTTCCTCATGAGGAAACATTGTTCCACCTACCACTAGGTAGTTCATGCTGCAAATTTCTACTGATCAGTCACCATTTTGTTCATGTTCAAATCCCTGCCATACTTGCCAATAACTTAGTCTGACACTTCATTGCTACTTCCAAACTTTGCATTACAATCACCCACACTCGCTATGATTTCAAGCTTGGGGACCTTGGTGAACACATCCTGTAACAAATCATAAAAAGCATCTCTTTCCTGATCCAGCTTTTCATTGCTCGATGCTGCATTTGCAGCCAAAGAAATGTAAATAGCCCAACACAAAGTGGAAACTCAGGAGCCGCATCACATCTACAACTCAGCACCACCCTGCATGCTTGAGCTGACAGAGGTGGGGAAAGGTATTCCCTAATACGAATGGGGAGCCTTTAAATATTCATTAATGGGGTCTGAAAACACCCATGTTAACCTGATTCCCACAAGAACACTGTCCAATTTCTCTTCCAAAAGAAGCTTTAGTGCCAGGCAGCTGCGTATCCTTAACCCCTGTCCTGATCTGCTCTGGGAATCAGGTTCTTCCCATGAGCCTGCCAGCCATGCTGCCGGACCATGAAAGGAGTGCTGCATCCTTACCTTGCTGGCATATTGCTTGAGAGCATTAATGGTATCAGCATCAAAGGTGTCATCTTCCTCCTCCCCAGCCAATTCCTCCAGCCCTGTTTCTGCCTGTACGGCCAGGATGGTGCTGCCAGCTGGCACGACAACAGGACGATGTATGTAGGCAGTGGAGCCGTCTTCCAGCTGGACCTCCTCCAGGGCATTGGCATCATAACCCTCTGGAGGGGGCCACAGAAATCAAACACTAGTTAATTGGAGGACTGCTTATGGGCAACTGCTTCCTATCTATTGGCACAGGAAGACCTAATCCTGGCATTTCCTCACCTCTGAGAGCTTGACTCTCCAGAATTAATGTTCTTTTCACTTTTTTGGGTGTAATTATTATGTACAGTAGCAGTAAGCACTCTTACAAAGGCACACATCAGTCTGTTGCTATTCAGATTTATTCACTCGCAAAAATAAGAATGACTATTTCATGTATCAACAATAATTCCCTGTGTCACAAGCTTTGCTATAAAGTAAGCATCTCCAGCCAGTTGTGCGCCCTCCTCTGTTACACCATACCTAGACATGACCATAGAGCCAATAACCTCAATTCATAAAAAACATTCAGCATAACCACGGAATGTTTTAAGAATTCTTGGCTAAAGGTTAATCCAAGTGAACCTGGATAGTAGCAACATCAGCCAGGATGTGGCTTTCACATTATGTTTCTGTTGATGGTACTTTCACATCTGGATTTCTTATACTTTACATCATTCGAGCTACATTCTTAGAAACCCGCAGGACTTTGTTAAATCCATTGGAGGCTTGACCCTGACAGAGGATGGAAGAATTAATAATTACCTTTAGGTGTGTTGTGTATAAAAGCCATGCTGCCATCTTCCAACACCACTTGCTGCCCATCTTCAAAAGCTACAGACTCTGTAAATCAGCATAAGCCGTAGACACTGGAGTAAGGAACGTCATGTCTGGGTCACAGAGTTAATTAGCTCACACAACAGAGCTCACTTAAAAAAATGTCCTACTTGTTTTTAAAACCTGCCATGGTCTTGCCTGAGCTGCCCCCACTTTAGCAAATTTTCTCCAGCACTCACCACTACAGGAAACGAGCTCCTCAATCAGTAGTGAATTTATTCTCCCCAAGTCCCTGTGAAATGGGGAAATGAGACTCTCTCTATTTTACAGATGGAGAACAGAGGCACACGAGGATTCGTGGACTTGCCAAGGTCACAACAAGTCTTGTGGCAGATAAAAGAGCCCAAACATCCTGAGTCACACTCCATTCATCAGCCTATCCTTCTCCTCTTTTTCCATTTATTTTGCAGCCAACTTCTCTGTCCCTTTACAATCCCTTACCATGGTTGGTGCAAGTTCTATCCTCTGTGGTTCTTACCATGTGAAACAAATTCCCTTCCCCTCTCAGCTGTGTTAACGCCATCTCATTTCAAATCCGAGATGAAAACGTATCTATTGATGACCCGAGCTCTGGGGCTTCTATCACTTTCCTGGGGAGACTATTCCAGAGTCTAACATAGCTAATAGTTTAGAAAGAGCTCATGTCTCACTGTTCACATAAGCACAACATTAGGGTGCTATATGGTTAATGCACATGGGCACAGAGGCTATTTAAGGAAGACACACAGTTTACAGAACTTATCAGATTTCTGATCAGACAGATACACACTGTAGAACAGCGTTTCCCAAACTATGGGCCGCGGCCCAGGATAAAAATACCGGGCCTCAGCGTGGCTGCCAGGGTGTTCCGGGCTCCCAGACTGCCCATGCAGCGCCGGGTTCCCCAAGCCCTCAGCTGGGCTGGGCGGATGCAGCCGTATGTTTCAGGCTCCTGGCAGAGGCATAGTGAGGGTTACCAGGTGAGCTCTTATTATGGAGGGGGAGTTGGATTGGGCCACAGGGAAGCAGGGTCGGGGCAGTGAAGCTGCCCAGGGGAGACAGGGAGGGGAACCAGCCGGCAGAAGTAGGGCTGGCTGGGGAAAGGAGAACCAGCTGGTAGAAGTAGGGCTGGCCAGGGGAGATCGCCGGAGGGGGATGGGGGGGAGAACCGACCAGTGGGGGCAGTGAGGCTGGCTGGGGGAGATCGCTTTGCTAAAGCTGGCCCTGGGGGCTTTGGGAGGACAAAAAACAACGTATTCACATATTTGTCATTTGCTTAATGAATATGCAAATTAATGTTACCAGTCCTCCGAAAGCTCGTGAATGGATTTACCGGTCCCCATGTCAAAAAGTTTGGAAACCCCTGATGTAGAAGGAGGACCAAGACAATACTATTTTAACCTGCATCTGTTTTCATCAGCAGCAAATTTGGCCATATATCAGTTTACTGCACATTTCACAGGAAGTCACATATGACAGAAAAAGCATCTACATTTTTATTCAGCACTTAAACAATAGGTGGGGGAATGAAGCACACGCAGATGGACTCCTTGAGGATAGAATTTAGAGACAGGACTGTCAAGCAGATCAGCTATGAGTCATGCCCATAATGTCCCTCAAACACAGGGGTAGGGAACCTTTTTTGGATCAGGGGCCGCTGACCCACAGAAAAATCAGTCGGGGGCCATACACAAGAGAAACAAAAAAACCCACCCCAAACCCTCACTGACAAGTCCCCTCACTGAGGAGAAAGGCTCTCCTCACATTCTCTGTGCACACTAGAGCCTAGTAGGCCCAGACCAGTAGATTTTGTGTGCTCCAGTCCATGGTAGGGAACCTTTTTTGGATCAGGGGCCGCTGACCCACAGAAAAATCAGTCGGGGGCCATACACAAGAGAAACAAAAAAACCCACCCCAAACCCTCACTGACAAGTCCCCTCACTGAGGAGAAAGGCTCTCCTCACATTCTCTGTGCACACTAGAGCCTAGTAGGCCCAGACCAGTAGATTTTGTGTGCTCCAGTCCATGC